GCGAAGAAAAAAAAAAGCTCCCAATCCTGTGTTAGCGGTTTGCTTGGACTTTAGCATTAAAGTGACATTAAACCCTCAGATTATTTAACATAAAACAATACTACAATACTGTAATGTGCGCCTTACTTTAATCCATGGTAGTTTCCCTTCTCTTTGCTGCTCTTCCTTTTTAAATCCTCATGTCTTCTCATTCTTGGGGAGAACTTCCTTTTGCAGCTGAGTGTCTTCCTGTAGTGCTGGCTCAGGTTGCAAACCTACACACAGACACCATGTATCCATTCCAGAGACAAGGCAGTCTGCTGCAAAACAGAAGTTCTCCCCCAGCATGAGAAGAGATACGGATTTAAAAGGAAGAGCAGCAAAGAGAAGGGAAACAACCATGGATTACAGTAAGGCACACATCACAGTATTGGTTTATGTTAAAAAATCTGAGGGATTAATGTCACTTTGTACCCCAGCTGATGGTCTGGGTATCACACTTGCTTTCTAGGGCTACATAACTTTTTGTGTAATGGTATAAATTTCAGTGGGTGGAGGAGGGGGATCGGCTTATCTGGCCTATAATCTTTATTGCCCCCCACCCCCACCGCGAGAGTCCCAAATCACCTCTAAGCCTTTTATAGCTGTCCCTAATTAATGGCATGTCACCAGGCACTCATCTATTACCAGTGGACAAATATATATAAACACAAGCAGGTCTGGTAGAGGTAATGACCCCCGGTGACCCGGCATTCAACCACAAGTCATAAACCTGAGTTACAATATCGGCTCCATTTCATAATTCGGAATTGGGTGGTGATAGTGAAAAATAAAGGTTCACCCTCTTGCTTTCCATCCCCAGCCCTGCACCTAGGGGCCGGCTCCGTGACACCCCCTAAAGGGCTGACAAAAAGATGCTGCAAAGAGCTAGAAAAGAGGCTTTTGTTTTGAAACCTTCAAAGGAACTCCAGCAACATCAAGAAGTCTCAACATTGCAGAAGAGTTCCCCTTTAATCTCTGGACATCATCTGCTGAAAGCTTGCTGGAAGAAGAGCCCTTCAGACCTTTCTTTTGCTTTCTGAACTCCTAATTCAGGGACTGTTGAGTATTCTCCTTTTAATTCCCTTTTATTTTACTGTTGTGTAATATATATTTTGTCTCTTTTTTTGTTTTTTATGCTTTTCTGCACGGTTTCTTTTATTAAAGGATGATCATAAAAATCATTAAGCTTATCTCTACGCTCTAAATATGAACTTAAAGTATCCTTGCCTCTGCGAAGAGCGCTACTGTATAGTGACTCCTGTCATATTCCTGTCTGGGCATTAAGTGTTTTACATTGGATGAACAACAAACAGCTGCGCTGGGAGCGGTGAATGTGTTTAAAAAAAAAACGTTAGACCAGCTGCAACAATATCTGGTATTAAACCCGTATATATACCCTGTCTCCCCGAAATAGGACCTACCCCGAAAATGAGACCTAGTTGTGACCATTCCTAGGGCCGGTGGTGGCATAAGGGGGAACTTGTAGAGTCGTAGGAGAGGCGGGAGAGAATCACAGTGCCGGCGCTAGAGGAAGCAAGGCGGCACTGGAGGGAGCAGAGCCGCATAAGCCGACGCCTCCTCTTTAGCGCCGGCTCCTGTCACAGGCGGAGTGATACCAAATACACCCCGCCTGTGAGGAAGCGATAGTGAAAGCGCGCTTCGCTCGTTCTGGCCAGCGATTGGTTACTGCCTTGCTCTTGGAAAGGTACGGCGCACCTGATTGCCCTGATCTCCATATTCTTAACTTTGCCATTTTGGATTATTTAATTTGGATTTGCGTTAATTTTGGATTGTTGTACATTAAAAAAAATTAAGACCTAGCGTGTTTTTTGTGAGCCAAAAAAAATATAAGACAGTGTCTTATTTTCGGGGAAACACGGTAGTAAAACAGTTATGTTGCGCTCGGTCTGTGCACAAACCAATAATCCTAATAATTCAAAGGTGAGCAATGTCTTTGTATCGCTATACCATTGCCAGATCTAAATTTATAAAGATAAATAAATGATAGAAAAAGCTCCTATGCGGTGATCTGTGACCTGTGTACGTATCACTTCTGTGTACCGATTCCCATGTGACTTGAAATCCTCTTAAAGGAGAACTATGGGGTCAGGGCTTTTCCCCATAGTTCTCCTTAGGGTAACGGGAGGACACAAACTAGCGTCCTCCCGCCACCCTAAGCTCAGTATATAGGGAGCTACAGCTCACGGTATACTGAGACGCCGCAGCCGGAACGGATCCCGACAATTATGTCTGGATCCGCCCAGCTGCGTGAGTGACAGCTGGCTCTGCCTATCTCTAGAGGCAGAGCCAGCTGTACCCGCCCCCTCCCCCGTCCGTTCCGCCAGTCAGCGCTGGCAGATCGGAGCGGTATGTGTTCGCTCACCTCCCGATCTACTGAGCCGACCTGTGACAGTCTCATTGTCACAGGTAGCCCCGAACTATGAGGTGAGTGAAAATCACCCCCCTCATAGTTCTCCTCTAATTGCTTAAATTATATTTACATATATTATCATCAGCGTTCTGGGATAGATACATGGAGCAGATCAACCCCTTAACGCTGATAATATATGTAAATATAATTTAAGCAATTAAGAGGATTTCAAGTGAAAAGCCCTCCCCTCATAGTTCTCCTTTGGTGGAAAGCTCTACCAGCTGATGCAACACAGAACATACGGGACTATACAGGGTCCACCTTAGAAATGGTGGAACGTCCGCGAGTTACAGAAATAAAAGACTTTCGCATAGAAGCACTGCTACTCGGAGATTTCCCAGACTGCTATGAGGCACTCGGACGTTTGTTGCTGCGCTTGATGCGTGCCCACATGATGAACGCACCCTGGAATAAAGGCGAGCCTGAGGATGAATCTGCACGAAGAACCAACAACCACAATAATGTTAATAAGCCGTGGGGAAACAAGTAAATGTTCTGCGTACAGACAGACAGCATTCCGAATGCGGGTTACTTTGTATTAGTCAGAAATAGAGACCGGTTCGACAACAAAGAAAATTAAAGACGAAACAGAAGAAAGACACTTCAGATACGGAGTGCGCCTTTCGCCCCAAAGAAGGCGCTGCATCACTTTTTATCTGCGGAGTTACAAATTTGGGATGTCCTGATACCGATACAGGGCATTTTCACAGAACAAGAAGAAAATGTCCCAATATGAAAGTCCGATACTAGCCCTTTAAATGTTTTAACGAGCGGCTGTCTTTGACAGTACTGCTCTGGCCGCACATCTCTGAGACCGGCAGAGCACTGGACAGCCCCACACCCGCCCAAACAGCCCTAGATGACCCCAGCACCCATCAGTTGAGCCCTGGAGAGCCTGGCACCCAACCGCAGAGCCCTGGACAGCCTGGCACCCAACCGCAGAGCCCTGGAGAGCCTGGAACCCAACCGCAGAGCCGTGGAGAGCCTGGCACCCAACCGCAGAGCCGTGGAGAGGCTGGCACCCAACCGCAGAGCCCTGTAGAGCCTGGCACCCAACCGCAGAGCCCTGAAGCGCCTGACACCCAACCGCAGAGCCCTG